AAATATATGACTCAAAATACCAAAATACAAAAACATAATTTTGTTTCTGTATTTGCCAGCATTATCTCTGCATTTGTAGTATTGTACCATTTGACACTTGTATTTATAGTAGCCATGGGGCTTTCTGCACCCTTGGGATCACTTGTCTATGAATAGTCAACCGTTTCCATGCTATGTAAGCCTAATTTTAAGTCTCTGGAAGGATAAGGATCCCACCCCATGAAACAGAGTAGGACAATAAACTTTCAGTACACATACTTTGTGACGTGGTAGTTTTGAAAGCTGGCTGACAATCTAGCAGACAGAGAGGTGGGAAGTGCTCATTAATGTGGTGTACAGATGAAATACGACCCAGCCACTGGTTGAGTTCCTATGCATCATCTCAGCTGCAGTGTGTGATCCATGTGTGCTCTATCTGGAGATAAACACATTAGCTTAAACCTCTCAAACTGACATTTATGCATTTGCCCTTTTACTGCATTTTTGCGGTGGGCTCAGAGGGAACATGATTGGGCTTGGAATCAGCTCTACCTGAATACTTACAAAAAAGCAAATCCAAAGCACGAGGCAAGAGGGTGCTATTGGGCTGCAAGGGAGAACAGGACTCGAGTTTTGCCACTGCTCAATTCAGGGCCTGAGGAAAATCCCTGCAGCACATGCTGGTAACAGTTGCCCAGAAAACATCAACAGACCCTGCTGCTTAAAATGAAGCATCGTCAGGGTGTGAGGCAGCAACTTTGTGTTGCTGATGGAGAGCATGGTTTCTCTGCACTGAAGGATAGCCCTCCTCCCTGCCTGAGGTGAAAGCCAGTGGCCATCTCTATACTCATCTTTAGATTTCAGATTCATAGTTCTTAAGTCTGGTTGACACCCACCATTTAGACATTGTAGAAAGAGTTTTAAAGCCTCCACAAGGCCTGGGATTGAAGCTTTCTCATGACCATGGTTTAATTTCAATGAAAAGAAAATAATTTTTATTAAATTAGAAACTTCCCCAGCCATTAAAACACCATCCTGAAGAGCAGAATGGTGATGAAGGCCTCCCTTTTACTATGATGTCCATTCATATTCAACTTGAAGCTCTGCAGGGTTCCTCGCTGAGTACTGATGAATGAAGTCTTTGCAGGCCTTCTCATTGCCATATGGTGCTCTCCTATAGTGCAGGGAAGTTCGGTTACCCTGAACTTAAAATACTCCAAAAGGACCTGAAAAACATGCAGAGCACTTTTGGCTTTAGTACTGTCAGGCACCTACAGTTACATGCCTCAACTGACTCATCAAATGAGTTTCCAGCAATAGTGCTTTGAGCCTTTTTTGCCTTGATGTAATGGCACCAATGCCTTTCAAACCCGTGGAATTTCTAGCAGAGAGACAGGTTAACACTTGTGTTTTCTACCATTTCCCACAGGCATCCCCAGCTGCTCTAGCAAAAAGCGTTTTGGCTGAAGTTCCAAACCAAGTCGTGGACTATTACAATGGCAAAGGGATAAAACCAAAATGTGTGTCAGAGTACGAGTCTTCCAGGACACTAGCTCCCTGAACCTGCCTGCACTTTTACAAAATTAAAGAAAAAAAGAAAAATGCTACTGTCTACAACTACTGTACTTAAAAAATGAAACAAAAAAAAATAGCACGTTTTGGTGATTTTTAACTAAAATAACCATTTTTTTTGCATGTGTAGCCTAAAGGCTTAAATCTGTTAAGCGGTTGTATCGTTGAAAACTTTTTATGAGAAGAAAAAAATCCAGGAGAAAAAAAAAAAAAAAAAGAGTGAACTCTTTACATTACAGCATGTCGCCTTGAAATAAAGTTATCTGTATCTGGTTTTTATACAGGTTTGTTGAAATTTTGCTAAATTTCTTATCTTTACACTGTAAAGCATTTTGAAATATTTATTGAGAGTCGATAGCCAAAATGTCTTTGGTTTGATCTGCAACGAATGGAGAGATTTTTCAAAATGGCAGATGCATGAACTGTATTTTGCATGTTTAAAATAAAAACAACACAGTTTTGCAGTTGTTGTCTTTATTTCTCACTCTGCCACGAGGCTGCCTGCTTTCAACTTCCATGTTCCAGTAAAAGGGTAATAGAGTGTTTCAAGAAATACCTGGGCTGAAGAATAGGCATTTATAATGTTAGCAGTTTATACTGTAGGCACCTGAACATGCTCACTCAGTCTGTGGCCTGAGTAGCAATTTTTCAAAAGTCTGACACATGCAGCTGTTATGAGGGGTTCAGACTGTAGCTGTAAACAGATCTGTCTTGGAGGGCATGAACCATCAAGATTCTATATCTTAATATATGCCTACTTAATCTAAACAATCTGACTGGCTTTCTAATGGGTTGTATTTTGATTATCCAAATTTACAATCTCTCGTTCTCTTTGGGAATTATTATTTTGTTTCATTTACATTTTTTAATCTCACATCCCATATCCAACTTTGGGTCACACATGTTCTGAAAGAAATTTTGCACTGACTGATTTTGTGACAATCCATGATTTGTAAATTCTTGCACACACAGATCACCTGTGCATGATAGAAAAACCAGTTTTGTATCAAAAGAATGTTCAAGCCACTTTTTTGTTGTTGTTTTTGTTTTGATTTGGTTGTTGTTTTTTTTTAAAAAAAAAAGGAAACACAAGAACAAGTGGATTGATCTTTCCATTGAAATATGTATATAAATTAAGAAATTAGGTTATTGTTATTCTTAGTGTTTTAATTTTAGCTTCCTCATTTGCTAAAAGACTATAGTAAAGGATGTCACTTGTAAGAATTTAAGGATAAAAATTGACCAAAAATAATTTGTGTGGGATTGTCTAACGGGCACAGCTTTGGATCAGTTGTGCTCCCACTGAATTGAAAACATTCTTGTTGCTGGTTCCAGAAGCAGCTATTTTGGGCCAGTGCTTAATATTTTGGAAAATCTCACCTGTGAGGAACTGGTTTTGTTTTAGAAATATACATTTTTTAATTGGTTTGGAAGTAATGTAGAACTCTAGCTCCCTGATTCTCCTTTAGAAGTAACTTCCTTAGCATCAGCTTTGATTAATGATTTTGCACCATAAACTGAAGGCAATGAGATAGCCAAGACACATGGGTTTTCTCCCCAGCACATTCAGTTCTGCTGCATCTATATCCTGCAGTGCAGTCATTCACACTTGCTAGTAAAGATTCCTTCAGCTGATCAGATATTGAACAGCAGCCAGTATTGCTTGGTCGTAGGTCTAAATTTTCTCAAGATGTCCTGACTGATAGATCTGAAATCCACATTTCCATTTAATGGCTGACTGTTCATTTGAGACCTTACCCCAGCAGGCTGCACATCTCTCCCTCTGTGGATGTATTTCAGTTGGAAGCTACTGTCATTTCCCCTTATATCTCACACACCACTCTGCCAAGGTATCTTAATTCTGATCTACAACATCTCCCATTTCCCCCCTCTTTTCCTTCCTTCCCAATTCTCAGATGGAGTATTTTCTAGCTGTTCAAGCACATGACTGAAAAATCAGTTGCACCATGTTCTTTGCTCCTCCAATATTCTATTCTGTAATCTTCATCAAGTTGTTTAACTTTCCTGCACCTCAGATTCCTCATCTGTAAAATGAAGGTCACTGCCATGTATGCATAAATAACTTCCAAGGGTACTGAGTGACTTCAATATTTAAAAAGTGATTTGAGAGTCTCAGAGGCATGATGGTGCTCTCACCATGGAAAGACTATTACTTTACCCTGGGGCATGGATCTATGGATGTAATGTACAGCTGAGTAGGCATTAAGGCCTTTTCTTTATTATTTGCCAGACTGGGGGAAAGTAAAATAATTTTTTTTTCAAGAAAATTAGGAATTAGGTAAATTGTTCTTCTGGTACATACAATCTTTGGCTAAACTGATTTTTTGAGAGTTTATAATTACATAGAATTGGGCAGTTCCAGCTCTTCATTAGCAGAGGTGTTACAAGGTGCTTCTATAATGTAGCATCACATAAAATGCAGAGATCAAAAAAGGATTGTATGCTGACCTATATAAATCATCATTTATTTTCATGTATGTAGGTGGTCTCTGCATCTCAAGAAAATCACCACTGCTACAGATCTTTCTATTTACTATACACAATCCAGATTATAAATGTTGCCTACATAAAAACAATTATCAGTGGTGATACAGATCAGCAACTCTGTAACAGCCCTCAAGGTTCTTGGAAAGAGACCTTCACGATACTTAAAAATCAATTGGAAGTCTCCTTCAACCTCTACAGATCTCAGCATGTAAAACAAGCACATAATAGTGTGGTGAGAGGTGTAGAAGAATGCACATAAGACAAAATTAGCCATATGGTAAAGCCTTTCTAATGAGGCTTTGAATGTTATTTTCAGTGCTCCAAGTTACTCAGTGTAATAAGATACTATGGACTTTGTGCAGAGTAACATAATTATATGACAATATCTCTGAAATGTTGTTGGTTTTTTTCTCTCCTGTTTTATTACTTAGGGGTTTAGCAAGGCCATTCTGCCTTTAGGCTGAACAGCCATCAGTTTCTCTTGTAGATTCTTTTGATGCAAATTTAAACTTCTACTGTCCTTTGACGGATCATTTTCAATTCTAAAAACTCCTTTAAAATAAATAATATCTTGTTATTTCAAGGTAATTGATGATCCAAAATATCTTCTCTGCCAGCTAAAAGCCTGCCTTCCTTTTTTACAGTCTCTCAAATCAATTCAAAACACTGAAGTCCCAGAATACTGAAAGATACTCATGGTCCATATTAGCCCAAAATCCATTAACATCCATAATTTTTGAGCCAGATACTGAGCTGAATTGTATTGTTAGTTGTGTCAGGTAAGTTGACGATAATAAAAAAAGCCAAAACATTAATACACTGCTAATTGCTTATTGCCCTAAGGTAAAACCTCCCCACGTTAAGTTCTTACCATGGTAAGCAATATGGTGTTATGTAGGATTTGATGAAAGAGTCTACAGGTATGAAATTAAAATGAAATTATAGTAACAGTGTTGCTTTTAACACGTATTTTCTTTTAGTCTCCAAATATGAAAGGTACACAACTGATGACAGCTAAAAGGTTTGCAGTTCAATCTGTTAGAGTCCTGCCGAGTGTTGTGGAGGACAGTGGTCTAAGCCAAGGCTTGTTTCAGGTTACAGAGATGATACTCCAACCAATTAAGAGATGGAAGGCCCCAATTCTGAGCAGATTGGCATGACAGAGCCCTGCAGCTCTGCAATGCTCAGCTACATCCCTTGAATTTACATACACACCAAATACTGTGATAGAACAGCGTGTGACTTAGTGAGCCTGGTTATTCCATTGCAGCAAGATCTTTGTTGAGGAGTTAAATGGAGCTGCCTCCCTCAGCTTGGCTCTCTGGCTGCATAAACAAGGCACAGTTTAATCCCAGAAAGAACCCAACCCGTCATTCAGATTGACCTTTCTCACTCGGGATTATGGGTCTTGCAGTCACACCTGCTGTGTAAAGCTAAATCTGTACCAAACCTTTCCAGAATGAGAGAAGTACTAAACAAACTCCTAAGTAGCATGGACATTACAGGCATAAAGCACTGGCAGATTTACATTCACATTTTTGAATGGGGAGGATGAGCAGAACGATTCCTAGGATAAAGTCATTCTTCTTAGATTGTGGGGGGTTTATCCCTTTATTTACAGGAAGTGCCATTTTGCCACAAGGAAAATACACTTCACAGCACCATCAGTCCTCCTTCACATATAGGTCTTGGTTGTATCTGCAGTCCTGGGCTGAGGAGTTGCACTTCAACAGAGGCAATTTCAGCAATTAGAGAGCTAATATGAGCGTTACCGGTTGGCCCAGCCGCCTGTTCCCGTGCAACGCTCACTGCAAACCATCAGTTGGCTGCACTTATATCCCTTTTCTCTGTTTTTCCAATTTCATTGCATAGCTGGTGAGATCCTCCAAACTGATCAGGTGAAACCTAGATGAATTCCCTCCCGTGGAGGCTGCTGGTTCAAAAGTGGTGTTTCCATCTCCTCACTCCTGCAATTGTGAGGACTCCCCAAGGCAGCAGGCTGGCAGGGAAGGTTATTTTTTAAAAGCCACTGTTGCTTTCTCTTCCTTCTCTCCAGAAAAGTCCTAGCCATTTCCACTGCTGTGCAGAAAGCTTTTTGCTGCTGGGTTCAGGAGGCGCTTGAGTTCTTTCCCACTGGTTAGAAGAGACAATTTGCAATCCAGTGGCATTCAGAGTTGCAGACATCTTGCTGCACGCACTCAATGCCCCCAGCCCCAAACTGGCAAGAGCCAAAGCCTCTTTAGCATCATGAACAGCTGCATGCACACATTAATAAATAAATAAATAATAATAAAGAAAAAAAAAACCTGCATCACGCTGTTAAAGAGGAGACAAGAAGTAAAGAAGCACAGCATCCAAACTCTTCTCTCCAAAGTGTCAGCCCCCCCATGTATCACTTGCAAGCTGCTGGCACAGGAAACCTGTCACCTCAGCTGTGCAGGAGGCTGGGTGAGGAGAGCAACACACTGGGGCAACAGAGCCAGGCAGCATCAAGAAAGGCCTCTTCTGGAGCCGGGAAGGTCCGGCACGACTTGGCAAGCCGCTGAGCCTTGCTGTGTGCCTTGGCTCCACACCTTTAACCCGGGGGTGAGCAGCATTTTGCTGCTGGCAGGGCAGGGCAAGCACCGCTGCAGGGCCTCACAGCGCTTAGACATGGGGGGGCATCACTTGTTTTTAGATCCTTCCTTCCTGCTGCTGTAGCAGTCCCTGCTCTTGCAGCACCACAGCCCTGCCCCTCTCTGGGCTGCCTGCCTGGCCCCCAGCCC